ACATACTTTAATCACTTCTGCTAATAATTTACATTACCATTTTACTAAAAGTTATCGTGTGACGTTATAATATTCGTCAAATCAAACCGTTAATAGTTCCATTCGAATGGAAATTTTTTTTCGCATGTAGACAATCGAAGTCTACGAAATGAAATAAAATATCCAAATCATTTCCGATTGTTAAAGAATTTCTTTTTTTGTTTTGCGAACCAAGCATGTAATGCTAGATGCTTGCCACTTCGCATAAAAAGAACACAATCGATATACTTATTAATTTTTATGCACCACTAAATCGTTAATTTTGCAAACTGTCCTATCTTCGTAAGTTTATACAACAACAATAACATACCGATGACTAAATCATTGTACATACTAAACCGCGCAAATATTACTATCGCAGCGTGTAAATAGTATATTTTAAGAATAAGATCATAAATCTTTCTTAATTTTGATTAGATAGAAACTGCGAATAGGCGCTCGTATTGGGCCCGAAGACGCGTTAAAAACGAAAGATTACAGAAATATTCTAATATTGCTAGATATTGATACTCGATGATCAATGAGAGCAAAATCGTTACAGATATGAAAGAACAAACAACACCCAAAAATGAATAGCATGTCTCTGTCCAAAGATCGCTTTCATTTTTCTGACGAGCTCCCTTTGTTGATCTCCAATAGACGAAATAATGACAATAGAATTGCGAAGGACGGCATGAACATTCGAAGTGGCTTTTCTATCGACAAGTATAATATTCTCCTATTTTCTTTTCAATTTTTTTATCTACGTTATTTCAAAACTTGGTCTTTAATAGAGAGCTCGAGGAATTATGACACTTGCCGGAGAAGAAATTTTGAATTTATCAAGATTTTTTAATCTCATATTATATATATTCTTCTCCGTTCAATTAATCCCGACCAATTAATCATCGTATTCCTTATTTTATAAAAATCATGATTTTATTAAAAACTCCCAAGTTTTAGACACTTGGATCAATCATTTTGGATAATTCATCCGATAAACTGCACCACCATAACGATTGCTCATCGCCGACGAAGTACCGTCATATTTACAACAAATAAACACTATACAAGTTTATAGTTCTTAAAAAAATAAAATTGCAATTAAATGAATAATTTAATATAGTATGTTTGGCATATTAGTAATGCCGTTAAGATTGTGTAATCTACATACTTTTAAGAAATTAATTAAATTAATAATCACATTTAATGAAAAGTTGCTTTAATCAACACTTTTTGTACTTTTTTGGCCAATTAATTTCTTTCTTTTTTTTTTTACTTTTTAGTTAGGATTCACTTGATTCGCGTATCTTGTTCGGGCGGCTCAGTTATTAATTAAGTAAGCCATGCCCGAAGTTTTCAACGTATAACTTTTGTTTACTCGCTCATGATACGTCGAACTTAAAGAGATTTTAAGATATCTGAAGATTACACGCAAACGTTTTCCTAAAAAAATTTTTTTATATTTTAATAATTTTTCGATATATCGCGGAATACAATACCCTAGTGATCGAATAAATATAAATTTTTTCCTAATAAACGCCACTCGTACGGCATCGCGATTTTCTTTCCCACGAGCCTAAAGTATACCAAGAATTAGGTACATAGTCTTGATCTAATAGTTGGTAGGATCGAAACTACTTCAATTCTAGAATCATCTTATCATTACTCGTAATAATTGACGACATTGTTCTAAAGTGAGTTAATGAATAGCTTTGAATCGACCAGTTGGCTCGCAATAGCTCTTGAATCAATCACAATAGATGTTAATATTCTGATCAATCAGCAGTTGATCAATTGAGGTCACAAATGGACAGCCATGATGATCGTTATTAAATTCACCAAGTTCTTGGATGTTCGTATTGTCTTACATTTTTCTATCATTATTCATATATACGCCTAGTTATCTTTGTGATCACAAATAGCGTATATGAATAATCGAGAAAGAAATTTGCAAGAGCATTATTAATAATAGTTAATAATTACATATATTGGCAGAAACTTTTCTACATAATCCTACCAACGATTAATGACTCAATGTGGAAAAATACAAAACTTAACTAAATGTACACGATTTTTACTTTTCCTCAAGCTGACACTCATATCTACTCGCACGCATTCGGTTATCACATGCAAACCTCTCTTCTTATTTGCATAATATATAGTTTTCAAATTTACATAAAGTACAAACTTATGAAAACCGGAAAAATGTAACACAATAGTCAGTGTAGCATTTTCGAAGTATCATATAAGTATTTATCTAATTACATAGTCGCACTTAAGTGTCTGTCGTTCTAGAGACAATAGTTTGTCTCAGTTTTAATGAACCGTTTGAATCTTCTGACGACTAAATGGGTTTTATGTTGGGAATGGCAATCCCAACTGCACCATTTTATGATAACTAGCACATGGCCTATGTCGTCATCGTTATTATTTATCTGATATCATTGTCTATGTTATTTTTGTTTATTGATTGGCGTCGTATTTAAAGATTTCTACAACATCGTTCGACACCAAACATACGTCCGAGTTCTGCCAAGTTTTTGTGGATTTATTATAAACAGAATATAGTAACATTATAAAGATTCCTCAAACGCAGCCATCAAATCACTCTGCATGTTCATGTCAATTTGGCCAGCCATCTGAAAAGATAAATATAACCATTCTTCGCAAATCCCTTTACTATGGGGGCGTCGAAAGTAATTTGTTTTTTTTCCATGTACTCTCATATGAATCTACTTGAAAAATCAAATTTGCTTCAAATTATATCGCAAGTTATAAATTAATCAAATTATAATAATTGATAATTAATAAAATTGACATTATATAAACTTTATTTTCTATTATATTTTAATTGTTTATTTTGATAATATATTGTCAGCTTTATGTAACATATACTATATGTATGTACTGCAACAATTAAGATGCTAAATAATATATTATTAAGTCGAAAATTAACGATTATTAAATACTATGTATCACACAAGTTATATTCAAATCGTGCAATAAAAACATAATTTTTTAAATATACAATTAAATGTATGATTAAGAAGCTTTTTCACACGTTATAATTGTCGCATGGATTCCTAACGTTGTTTATTTTCATTTACTAATAATATTCTGTATTAGACTTTTCCTATTATTATTTTTCGAAAAGTTACAACAAATTAAAATTTCATGAATACGAAATACGAAAATATCAAGTACTCACCGCTTCTCGTCGTCGGCGTTCTTGCTCCCGTAGCCTTAGACGTTCCCTTTCTGAGGCGGACTTGTCCTGACTGGACGAATGACTCGGACTACTGCTATCTGTGTCAGTAATGGCTTTTACTTCTTCCGCTCTTGTTGTGGTAGTCATGACATTGCCTTGTTGATCTCCAATATTTTTTCTAACTTTGTCCAGAGCATCTTCTTCTTCTCGTTCCCGTCTTCTTTCATTCTCCTGCCGCAATCTCTCTCGTTCCGCTTGTTCTTTCTGCTGTCTGCGCATCTCTTGTTGCTCCATTAGTGCTCTTTGCTGTTTTACGAATATTAATAGATAAATATTATTATAATATAGCTGGATGTATTATATAACATACAGAATTATTTTTGCAGAGTTAACTAACCCTATCCTGTTTTTCTTTAGCTTGTTTCTTGAATGCCTGGAATGAGTCTCGCGCTGCACTTTTCATACTACTTCCTGCAGCTGCCGATTGAGGACTCGAAGCTTGAGCCAGGGAAGACCATGATGATGCATTTTTTACGTTCTGCTCTACAGTCTGTAATCAAAAGTATGTCAAATTTTAACACAACTAAAATTATTTTACTTTTATGGTACATATAATATATATATATATACATATAAAAAAATATATACAACACATAAAAGATAATGTGTTAAAAAATTAATTTACACTCTTTGAATGTGTAGTTCGGTTTAAATTTGGGTGAAGACCGAGGGTAAAGATGATGAGAAAGAAAGCTCGTTTGATTTTCTAAGGCTCAACACGATTTATTTAACACGCTATGTACGTTGCTCACACGTCCGTTCGTCGAAATCTGTCGGTTGAATCTCCGTCGTGTAGAGCTAGCTGCGCGAAATCGGTTCTGTATTCGGAACAATGTGACTTTGGAAAATCTTCTAAAAAATTTCAAACATTATCGAAAAGAACCTTCTCGCATTTAATAATCGATGTGGTCCACCGACTGATTATCCTACTTATGGCGTGACCATTCAAGCATCGGTCGCTACTGATTACGATATGAATAGCATCGAGTCGCATAAAGAAATGTATTATAAAAATTAAGAGAAATAAAAGAAATTAAAGCGTTGACCGATTTATTGTTATTTACCCGATCAAGGTGTCTCAGTGCTAGTCGATCCGTATGTTTTGTATACAATGTTTGTATGAAAGTCTCGACGTATACGTGTTCGAATGTGAGCGTGTACGTGCAAAATCTGACAATTAGCGTTGTGACGATGTAACCGTCATAAAATATTTAGGAAATGATTTGTACCTTATTTTTAAAGGCTGACGCAAAGTTTGCAGCGGGATTCTTCGAGTCAGGTGGGGTCATTTTCTTTTCAGGCATCAATTGAGTATTGGCATGATTACCCATCGATGGCATTCCTAGGGCGTTTATTTCTGTAAAAAAAGCTCCTGCTAGAGCAATAGTATTATATCTGGTTAGTAAGCGGTTAGAGTACAGCAGTTAGACACGTAGTTAAAGATGTATGTCGCATATGTCAAAATAAAGGGATAAAGCTGAAATTTACAGAGATTGGGCACTTATATACCCCAAAAACCTGTGTTAAATTTGCGATCGATTGTCCGACCAGTTTCTGATATTTGCTTTAAAAGTTACGGAAATTGTGTATATATATATATATATATATATATATATATATATAGATATACTTCCCATGTAAATATCATAATATGTATCTCTGCTCATGTACGGTAAAAATGAATGAAATTTTTATGGTACACTTCTATGACATCGAGAATTGCAATTACGTTTTTTTAAGATTTTCTGTTTATATATTTTTTTCATTTTTTTAATGATTTATTTAAACAATATCAAGTAGAAAAATGGGACAAAATTGCGATTTTTACGCTTTTTTTGTCCCAATGATACCATGTTGTTTATGAATAATTTCTGAGATTAGCTCTACACTGTCTAATCAAGAAAACAAAATTATTATACTACATATAACTACAGCGACATACATTTTTAAGACACGTATAAAGGGTCTATTTTCACGTATCCGTGACGTGTCAGTACCATATCAGTGACATCTGCGACGCATAAGTGATGGTTATTCATATATATCCATACAATTTGGTCAGTTTGAATTAAGTGATTTTCGAGATAACTCAACTTACGGACAATAAAATATTACATTAAGCGTAATTTCACCATAAAATTACGCAATAAACATGATATTCCATTTGCATCCAAATCTACGACTTACTGACCGCCGTAACGCGTCCATATATATAAAAAAGAAAATATATAATTTACAATATCACTGTACAGATCAGTATCAGTGCTGATAAATATTGTCTCTTTGTTTTTGGATGGATGTGTTCACACACGACGTCCATCCAAAAACAAAGAGACAATATTTATCAGCACTAATACTGATGGAAAATGGAACTGAGCTGATACGGCACTAATACTTCATGGATATGTGTAAATAAACCTTAAAGCAGCATTGTTACTTCAAGCGTTAATAAAGACGACAAAAGAATAATTCTATATCCAGAATCCGAAAAACGACATAGGTAATGTTAATTGATAAAGATTAGATTAGACTGTAATAAAAGATTGAATGTATCAAGCAAAAAAATTATGTGAAATTATTAAGATAATTATTAAGTTGTTTTAGCATTAAACCAATTAATATATACCATATATTATGTACACCTTATTTTTTGTAAAAAACATTTTTATTCTATTAATAGCTGTACTAATATATATTTTTTAATTATTTCTTGAGTTGCATGAGTAATAACTATAAATTTACTAGTATTAAAAAAATGAATAAGCACTTTAAAAAAAGCAAATTTAGAAAAAAGCATGCTACGAATATATAAATATATTGCACGAACCATCCATAGGCTTTTGCGGTAGAGGTTGAGTAATTGCTATGGGCTTCTCTTCTTTCTTTATAGAAATCTGAGAAATTTGCATCGGCATAGATGTTATTGGAAGAGGATCAAATATCGAACTCATGCCTCCAACGTTTATTCCCATATTTAATCCTGGAATGCCGTTATTATTCAGCATATTGGGCGGTGAATTTCCGCGTTTTGTATTTGGAAACCCGTTGGAATGCTGCTGCGACATTGTAACGTTATGCGAATTCTGTATATTAGTCAACGGCGCAGTAGTATTAATCATATTTTCTAATTGATTGTGCATAGACATATGTGCCGCCAGTCCTTGCGGTAAATTCATATTTAAATTTGTCATGTTGATATTGCCCAAATTCAGATTAGAAGCCATACTCGTCGGCATCATATTCACAGGTTTTACGTCCGATAGTAAATTGAGATTGGTGTTATTAGTATTATTCGTCGTATGAGACGTTTGGATAAATGAAGATTCTTTCTTGACACCGAGCGCTTGTTCTAAAGTAGATTGTGTTTGAATAAATGACGGCTCCTTCTTGATTGCAAGTGTTTGATCCAAGGAGGACTGTGTAGTAGGCACCGAAGCTGTATAAAATACATATATAATATGGTTACTTTGTACTTGCTTTTCATATAATAAAATATTATTTTAGGCGTTATTTTTTCGCATTTATAAACAATACCAATAATTGTATCTAATTATAGATACCTAAAGTATTGTATGGCTGTAAAAGATCAGACTGTTGATTTAAATTTGTTCCGTCTGTGGATACGGATGTATTTGCATTTGGAAAGGAACTAATGGATGTTGGTGGCTGCTGCGGTGGTTGTTGAGATATAGCTGGCGAAGCTGTCATAGAATTTGTATTTGTAGGTGTGACGCTGGGCGGTGGAGTTGGTACAGAGACCGACGGAGTTGATGGGTTAGATGTTGTTGGTGGTGGTGGTGGTGGTGGTGTTGGTGTTGGTTTTTTTACAGGAGCGGCCGTAGCCAGAGCTGTAGGTCGTGACGGTTGGGCTGGCATAGACGCGTGACTCGCGACAGGTATACTTTGCCCTGTTGTAACAGCAGCCACTGCGACAGGCTGTTGATTATTATTGCCCCCTAAAAGAATTTTTGCACTTACGTCTCATAGTCTATTAATTTGATATTTAATCGCATATGTTATAGCATCTTTTTTGCAATAACATATGTCTTTCTTCCTAGTAATTTATATATCATTAAAGACTGCTAATAAAAAATATATCCACAAATTATTTGTAATTCATTAAACTAAATAATTTGTAAATTAGTAGTTATAGCACATCATATATGCATCTGTTAGAAAAATCACGGATATAATAAAATAATAAAAAAAAATTAATTAGTTTAAAATTACAGTTACAAAGTTATGATGTCTATATAAATAGAAACATAAGTATAAACATGTAAGTGCCGAGAAAAAGATTTTAATTTTCAGATTATATTGTATTCAACAATATCCCTAACAGTATCCCCAACGCGAAAATTGCTAATCAATATTATAGTTATTTCATGATTGATACAATACCTGATTCTGAAGGAATATTGCTTGCTTGAGTAACAGGCGGCTTTGTTATTGGTCCCGTAGAATTCATCGATGGCTGATTATTCATTAAAAGAGCTCCACTATGATTTAATGTAGGTGCCTATATATAAAGAATATATTATCTTTCAATCAATATTCACCTGTGAAAATTATTGTGTCACATTAAGACAAGCATTGTTATAAATATGATATTGTGTACTTGCAATATATATTACACTATTCTTTTAAGTAACTTCTAAATTCGAAATTAGTACTTACAAAAATGTCAAGAGACACATAAGAAAATGTGTATTATCTAGAAAATGCTTATAACCTTATCTCATGATGTAATATGAAGAATAAGTATATATGCATAATTTCCACGTTGACTTATTACAAGTAATTATCTTACCGATGCTACGGTAGCAGTCGTTGCAGAATGTCCTGAACTTGGTGGATTCTTCTTTGCTTTTTTTCTATGTGGACGATTCGAAGAGTTTCCTGAAATTCAATGTAATGTGTTCTAGTAGTGATGAGTTACGTGCAGTCAATCATTGTTCTGTCACATCAAGAGACACAGGTCGATGGAGAATTAGCGAAATGCAGTGTGCAGAGGATACCAGCTATTGAATGTCGCAAAACGCTAAGTAAAATGCGAAGATACGTCAGAAACAAAAATCAAACAACTTCGTACGTATATTTTCTAATAGATTTTATTCATATGCTTATATTATAATTGTATCACTGTGTACAACAATGTTAATTTAAATATCTCAATTGTATGCTCCTTTTTTTGTGGACTTTCATCTTAATGATTCTTTTATATTAAAAAATTTTAATACGTAGAACAATTCTTTCTCTCCATTCTACGTAAAGTTAGTTATATTCAATTCATTTATGAATATTTGCGCGTGCATATATATACATATATATGTATACACGTACATACATACATATCGCACGCACGCCCACACATACATGCATACGTATCGCGAAACTGTCACACATACATATATGTCTCTGCATATATGCATGCAAGAGCACGCGCCTACTCTCGTCGTTTTAGTGTATCGATACTCATGATTTATTATAATAACAGTAATAATAATCGTTACGGTGGCGGAAATGACGATTATAAAACATTGACTACAAAAATCATCAAACTGCCGTCTTTCTTTTACTTCTTTTTCCATATAATATAATATAATTAATGTAATATTATATAATAATAGGAGTAATGTGTAAATAAAAGTCACATAAATGGTACAATACAGGCTCAACTTAAAAATGAATGATACAAGAGCGACAAACTCTTACAAATTGTTTAAATGTTAAAGTCGTAGTTAGCGCAACACTGAGATCGGTGGCAAGAGACTCCTGCTCGATGTTTACCGTGTGTACTACATAAATCAGCGACGATGGTAGATACATGGAAAACTGTGGTATATTATAAGACAATATTATCTTTGTCTGATGTGTGCTCTCAAACAATTCGTGATCGCAACAATCGTGAAATCACAGCACTGAAATTTATCGATGGAATGTGAATCGACAACCTTGCTAAACCCATTCGACGACAAATAAAAGTAACGAAACAACGAGGAGGAGTACCAGCGTATCTTAATTTATATAATATAGTTAACTGGACCACCACATATGAGCCAACCGCGACTCTTGAAGAATTAATGTCTATTTCACTCTTTAACTTTGTGTATGCACTTAGAAAAGTTTCGCGCGTCGTGTATGTCGTTTTTTTTCCTCCATAAGTATAACTTACAACTATTTATTAATATTTTATGATATATTAGTTTTCACTATGTACAAAACACGTACGACCGTGTTTATCGTTACTATTAAACTCGCGATACGCAAACAGAAAAAAAAAACAGACGGAACGCTTACATACGACTCTGGAGAGGAAGATAATTGGCGAAATTAAATAAAAGGTGTGGTGTTATCTTCTATGAACAAAATATTTAAAATCCTTAAATCTGTTCTTGCGTATAACGCAAGCAGGAATAATTCGTAGCAGGAAGAATGACGTTCCAGTCTGGATGAAGACACGAAAAAAAATATATTTTTTTTAGATGCGTGCTTGCATATAGAATAGTTGCTACAAAAATTTTGGAAGGCAATATGAATATCATTTATAAAATGCCCTATTATACCTCGCGTTATAAGCTAATGCTGATTGTATCTTAATAGATGTGTAGTATCCATCTAATTCAGCACACACGCCGTCAAAATTTGTTCTCTCATAATCTAGCTAATTCTTCGGATTTCTCTAGTCACTTTCAGTATCTTGGGAAACAAAAAAATGATAATATTAACCTGCCCGACATTTTTCGCACCTACTTGTAAATGCTTATAGTTTTCATATCAATAATTTTTCTTAGATATCGACGAACACTTTTTTTCCGACCAATTACGGCTTGTTTGTATCGAGTTATCGTAGTAATTAATCGCCCGCTCTTATCTCCTTCTCTCTTATTTTGTCGGGGCAGTAAGTACGTTGCTCTGAGTGCATGATTCATGATACTATTTAATTGTACTCGAGTGCAAATTCGATTATCCTTAATGCTCATATTATGACATGTTCAATTACAAGGATTGCTCCTTGGAGCATCTTAGAGCGTCATTATCGGTTACGTTCACAATAAATTCTTATGTATACATCTTGCTACACGTAAGAACTAAATTTACACGATATCTCAACAAAAAAAAACATTCTGGAGCAGACATTTACACATAGAAATATAAAAACAAAATATCATTAAAATTAATCTTGTTTAAATTCGTATAAAAGATTTTCTAAAAAAAAAAAAAAAAAAAAAAAAACCGTTTTGATAGGATACGCGCGAGTTAAAAGTAATGTTATTTCGAAAATTATATAACGATATTTGTTCCTTGAAAATTCGTGGTATTTACAACACATGTAAAGTTCTATTGCGACGAGAAACGAAGTGTATGCTTAACAGGAATAATTACTACTTCATATATTAAGGCATGTAAAACCACACCAATTCGTAATCGTCATTGGAATAATGATATCAATTTCAATAGCAAGAAGACAATATTTCCAACTTTCCTTTTAATCATTTGAGCGATGAGAAAACTGACAATGGTTACCGATGAAGAACTAGTGGTAAATAGGATGAAACGACGATTAGCAAAGCTTAGCGGAGTGCAAACAATGTGTTTGGAGGCTAGGGCGCCTTGTGTATATATATATATATACATATATGTATATATATTAGACCATCTCCTTAACTTGTTTCCCTTCCTATTCTTCTCCCTTTCCACTTGCTTTCTTCGTGTGTGATCAATCTCATGATCCCTTTCTGTCTCTGTCGTTTGTCGGTCTCTCTTACCCCCCTTCTACTTCTTTACACATTAACTCTTTGTATATGTATATATGCATATATATATTATATATGCTCAAAGTCATTAATTTTACGAAAAAACGAGTCAGTTAGAATTCAGATATAAATGTACTCCGCATCAGTATACTCTGTTGGAGATTCACAATAATTACTTTATTCGAATCTATGCATTCAGAGTAAAACAATAAGGAAGATTTGTATGAGTTTTCGCTTGTCTTACACAAGCAATGTAACATTGTTATCAGATTCGGCTTGCAAGAGATGAAACATTTTAATAATTGACTTTTTAAAGGAAGCACATATTTGGCTATGATAAGCTAAGCTTGAAATGGAAATAGTAATCTGAGGTAACTAGGATTGAGTTTCTTCATGTTCAGAAGAATCTTGTTAGAATTTTTTTGCGGAGACAAAAGCTTACTCACAAAAGCGTAGCTTACTAGTAAAATGCAACGCGTAACTATGCTAATCTTAAAATGCACTGATTTGCAAATCTAGCCACCAATACACATTGTCTGCAATTTCTCCCGTGTGTATCGCTATGATCACTGTCTAATTTATCTCTTTATATTATTCTTTACTTCGACCGATGTCATTAAAGTTCGCATAGTTTAAAATGTGCGGGAATGTGTGACCGTTTAGGAGCATAAACACACTTCTCACGTCAATATATTGATAATATTGCGTACTGTATACCCACTTTTTAGTTCGTGACGCATGTTAATATCACTGTTTTAGATTTTGAGAAATGATACGGCATGAATGAATCAATGCGAGAAAAACAAACTTAATGATTCGAACACACAGTGATACAAGTAATGTTCTGTTTATCATTTAATGAAAATAAATAACGAGTTTGCAAGAATTAATATATTGTATTATTTTCGGATTATATGGGGGCAGTATAATTATCGGGGAAAGCTACGGTAAAATAGTTGTGTAACTTATTACAAGGTACTAATATTCGACACTACAGTCACGGCAGCAATACACTTTGATTGAGTGCAATGTCGCTGATTGCAGAATGAAATCTTTCCAGACATTTTACTAACCTTAGAAGCAATGACTTTCTTACGAACCCAAAGGCGGAACTGCAGTGAAAAATTCAGTAACCTTGAGTAGCAAACTATACTTGACTTTCGAGCAACAGAATGTACCTACTGTCAACACCGATAGGACAAGAGAAAATAATCATATTGTTCAGAATCAATAATATAATTCGTGAAACAAGCTGGCATGGTATCCTCTAAACACAGTCTGCACTCCACTAGCTCACCTTTGTTCTTACCATTGCATATGTCTCGTAAATTAAATAAAAATTCTTTAATCGTGTATCAAGTTTCGATTCTTGTACACGATCGCGACACATCTGCGACACTTGTACAACGAAAAATGTACAAAATTACGTAGACATGGTAAATCTTGTTCAATAGCTCGTTTACAAGATGAAACTTGACACCACATGCATACTTGCATTAATATAACGCAGCATTTAAGCTACATGAATAACGCCGTCCTAATAAATACAGTATGTAATAAGCACGATTCAGCAGCTTAAGAAGGTATTTGCGTTGAACTCCATTTTAAAAAAATGTTTACATCTAGTTTGTAACTTCCGTCTTGCATAGCAAATATTAATCATACATTATTGTATCATTATATATCGGCGTTTTTCGATTGTTTCATTTGCCAATAAAAAACTGGTTAGGCACAGAATTCATAAATATTCTCTGAAGCTCTTAAATCTACCACCAAATCATGAGGCATTAACGTTTCTCAAATAAAGATTATCAAACTGTAGCATAATAATAGAAATAAGATACGTAGAACAAATTAAAAATTATTGATTACGTGTTATAAAGTGTGCAACTCATACATAATTTTAAATAATAGAAAATAAAAAAAATGTAACGTAATTTAAAATATTGAATTATTATATTCCTTCAAATTTGCTAATTTGACTTATAAATTAAATAATAAATAAATTTAAGTTATTCATAATATAAAAAATATTAACATAAAGTTAAATGTTCATCATAACTTTTAACCCTGTTAATCGAAATTTAATCATAATGATAATTATATGTAACAATTATTATATTTTCACTGGTACTGTATCTCATTAAGAAATTATATACTTAATAAGAATATTATTATATTGTTTTATATAATATACAGAATTAAGTGCCACATGAAATGGTGAGCTGTTTTTACACAACTATGAACTTCACGTCTACGACTTTGCCATTATTTTTGTTAATAAAAAATTTTTTATCGGTCTAAATCGATAATGTCATTTATAATTAATAACACACAAAAAAAGAGATAAAAGACACGCAGAGAAAACAAGGTTTTTTTTTAAATGTAGAAATACCTCTGCTTCACAGATAACCCTGTTATACTTGGCGATGAGAAAAAGCGCGTTAACAATCTAAACCATATTTGTATTTTGTGTGTTTGTAAAAATGTATTGTCTTAAAATTTGGGCGTAAACGTGAGTATGAAAATCTGTGCTTCATAGTGCATCCGTTAGAAAGTAACAAATTTTTTTTGCAAATAACTCGAAAGTACGGAATACGCTATTTCCCCAAAAGTATACTTGTATACCTGTTTGTATATATACATACATATTAAACTATAATGTACACATATATATGTATATATATATATATACAGATATTCATACATAACCCCATAATTTTGAATCTCACCGAAGAAATCATTCATATTTTTGTGACAACCACTTAATTACAAGTAGTTCTTTGTTCCCAAGTAAGGGTCTAATAGTAACAACAGTTGCATTTATATCTAACCTGCTTCACTGTCGCTTGAATCAGTGCTCGTTGAAGAAAGCGAACTACTGCTGGAGTCACTATCGCTGCTACTACTGCTTGATGCTGACAATCGCGAAGGTCCACTGGCACCACCAGTTCCAACTACATCAACCGACTTACTACTGTCTTCTGTAAAAAGTGCATACAATTCTTTATACTCTAATTTCATAACACGAGTATATCCCTTGATACAATTAGAAAATACAAAACTCTATAAAAGAAATTAATCAGATGCTAACCTTTCTTGGCAGTTTTCTTGACATTGCCTAACTGCCCCGTTACATCTTGTAATCTCTTTTCCAATTCTTGTTTCTTTTCTGCCATTTGTTCATCCTTGGACTTACCACTGACTTTCTTGTCTGTTAACACATGATAAAATAATATATAAATATATAAGAAATTTATTGTCATAAGTATGTGTGTGTATACGCGCGTACATGTGTATAAATTGTATAATAACATTGAGCAAATTTAAAACTAAACTTACTAGTGTGTTTACAAAATAAAAAATACATTTACTTTTATTAAAGATAAAAAATATATATGTTAAAAGTATAATTTTGTATATAAGATGTTATCTTTTTAGAGAAATATTAGAATTTTAAAATAACTTAAAAATATTATAATTGAAATACACACACACATTGTGTAATTCAATCATACATGCATGACAACATATTGCTATTGGGAAAGTGGCAGACAAATTTTATAAACTCAAAATAAAATTAAGTTCATAGTAAAGCTTACGTGGCTTCTTTCTGAGGCATGACGCAACATAGCTTTCCAGTTCTCTAAGCGTTGATGGCTTCAGTGTCTCAAAATCAATTTCGATTTCATCTGGGTTTGAATCCCTCAGTGAAGGCTCTCGAGACTGTATTATGTGTACAACACGACCTAATTTATCACCTAAAGACAAAAACCAAACAAAATTAAATAATGAATTAAAGAATTAACTAAAATAGACTAATATACACTTTTAGTTGTTTTTGTTCTTCGCATTTATAATTACAAACATACAAAACAATTTAGAATGAATATTCTATAGATAGAATTATATAATGTGAACAGTAAAAAAAGTTCAAAATCAAATATCAAACATATCACATAATAACAATAATCATTTTGCAAACATTTGGAGAATAACTATTTTACACTATTTATTGTAATATTGTGGCTAGTCTGATTGTCTACTAATAAATAATTTCTATCTGAAAGATTTTCATATAGATTTATATGTACTGTATAATTTCTCTTGTTATATAATCTTTCTATTATTCAACCTTTTATTACTAATATAAATTAGAATTTTAATTCAACATATACCTGGTAGTTTATTAATATCCAAGCTGAGCTGCCTCTTCTCATCGTAAGACATTGGTTTAGCATTATCTTCATCTTCCGAATCAAACGTGATCGGAGGTGGTTGATTGCCAGTATTTTTCTTCTTGTTCCCAGTAGATCTGCTGTTAGCCTTCGGCCTTTTGGTTGCGGTATTCGCAGTTGTGGCAGCTTTTCCGGGTCCCCGGCCCTTACCTTTTGGCTTAGCATTCGCTGTTGTTGGCAAATGATGTCCTAAGCTTCCTCCTGCAGCATGAGTCTTGTTAGGTCCTACTGCTGTAGCTTGATGGTGAAGATCGCTAGCTATGCCACTAGGCATTTTCAAGTCGCCTGCACCCATCGCAACACTGGCTATACTAGCACCAACACTGTCTGACACATTGGGAATGCCACCACTCGGTTTCATAAGTTCTTTCATGGCACCAGTATGACTGGGAACAAGGCTGCTATTCTTATTGCTCATTGGCTTCGATTTTGGCTTATCTGGCTTCTTCTTTTTATTTTTCTTCTTACCGCTCTCTTCCACTAATTTCCTCATTTGCTCTTGCATAGCTTTCAGCTATAAATATAGTAATATAAATTATATTTTTAATTGCGTTTATCTACAAAGTGTGTGCGAGCGCGTTAGAGATCTCGGAGGAAGAGCGAGGAAAGAGATTAGGCGGGATTATCGGTGATAAACTAGAGTCTGTGTTTAAGTATCTATAATTCTATTTTATGTACAATAGTTACAATATTTAGTCTTTACTGCGAGTCGCGGACAGATAGCTTACGCCCGACGAAAGCGAGTACACGAAAACCGCGAGCCACGGAAATTGGAATGACTTTCCTTTCTCGATGTATGTTCGCCGAAATACTTTGGTCGAATGCGAGGCTCGCGCGCGGAGGTCCGGGGTTTTATTCCCACAACTGTCGGAGATTCGCGAACCCGCCGAACTCCCGGTAACGAGCCGAAAATTCAGACGAGCCAATCAGTTATCGATACTCCGACAAATTCGTATTTAACGATTGTCGCCGATCTCGAGGCCGGCAGCTGATCAGTTTGAAAACACCGCTCGCTCGCTTTGTCCCGGGCGTATATGCCTCGCGCGCCGAGTCCCCGAGACAAAGGGGCGAGTCGGGATAGGCAAAAACTGAGCTTTGTTTTTCTGCCCTCCTAGTTCACCGGGAAATATACTGATATTTCCGCGAATGTACCTATTCTTACATTGAATTTAGACAACTAGCAAACCAGGAAGGCAGAATTTGACAGAGCTAATTCGAATTAATGATTAATTTAATTCGCGGTATTGATTGACCGACGGTTCTAGGTTTGATCGCGAACAAAGTAATTTCTTTTTGAATTTAAAAAATAGTAATTTTATTTTGAACAAATCATACCTCTTGCTGTAATTCAAGTAATTTCTGAGTACGTTCCTCAACCGAATCATCACTTTCGGAAGAACTATCCCCTCCAGAACTACTACCACTACCACTGCTGCTTCCTTTCATAGCCACCATACCACTACCCATCGGTTCATCCGGAACTTTAGCATATCTAATCATGTGTTCAATTACATAATTATATTATAATTCTATCATATATTCAGATTTCAGATTTTGGAAAATTTTGACTACCAACCTCATTTCAAATATATCTTGAAGTTTTCTAGCCATTGAAACAACGTCATGATCTGGAGGATTATATTTATAACAATTAGTAAATATGAGTCGTACATCAGTTGCAAATTCGTGCGCCGTTTTATACTGACGATTATCCATTTTCGTCTGTAAGAAAAAATTTTATATAAAAATAGTTGAATCTATCTAGTTATAAAAAATTTAACAATATAAAATTTGTGTTAATAATTTATAACTCTTATAATTTTAGTATAGTGTAGTATAGTATATATTTTAGTTTAGTATAGTATATGCGTGCGTGTGTAATGATATTCACAAATCAAACATACATACCTTTACTGTACCAAGATCCATAGGTTTTTTGATAATCTCATGATAGTCATGAAGGCCTAGAAGTTCTGCATCAACAGGTTTGTAAAAAGGCCAAGCATAGGGCTGTACATTATATATAGAAAAAAAGAAAAGATTAAATTACACGATCCAGTACCATACTGTTTGTAATGTTATATTAGCTGTCAAAGATGAAAAGAATATATCACAATTACCGAATGTTTTTTAGCGAATAGTTCCTTCAAAATATCATTGCAAGACTTCAGCGCTTCAGACAATTTTTCTTTTCCTTTGACACCAGTATGCGGAGGCTAAAAAATAAGAAAAAATATGTAATAAAATTTTACATACTAAACTATAATTTATTTTATTTAAAAGTAAAAAGTTTCCTAGATAGATAATTATGTCAAACTTTTAGCTTATTTTTGAAATGTACAAGATATACATATTTAAAAAATTAAAAAAAATAATAATAAAAACATAGTATAGGTAATCTTATAATTTGTCTTACAGTAAAAGATTTTCATTATAAAACATGCCATAAAATATATAAATTGTGCCATTTAATATAAACCTGATAATTGTCGCTTGATAGATGATGAGACAACACAAATGAAAGGAAGGATATTATGAATGAATAGTAATAAATGTACCTGTTGGGCCATTGCCCCCATCAGAGGCATATTGGCCTGATGGTATGGCACTAAGCCGTCTTCCGCTTGTCTTGTTGGCTGAAACAGCCATGATATGAATTGTTTAAATTGTCGTCCATGATGTCATATTTATTTTATTAATCGCCGATCGGTATGATTAACATAATTAAAGAAATGATATGATTGTAGATGCGAGGAACAAGGATGTTTATCATGTATTATGATCATGTAAAATAATATGTACTTCTCACGTTTAAAAAGATATATCAATAATAAAGTTTCATTAATTTATATCGTGTTTTTATATATTTATCGTATATCAATCTTATTTTTTATGTAAGCGTGAAAATCTTGAATTTTTGATGAAATATATACGTATTCAAAACTTAAAATTAAATAATTAGACGCAATAATCATTATGTCATATCACATTTTAAAGATATATTAAACAATATATATATATCTCTCTTTAATGCTTTTCATTCGAACACAAAATATAATAAAATATACTCATGTATACTCACCTTCTTAATTTGCCTGCCAGATTCCCTTCTCGTAGGTATTTTGGCATTCTTGGAATCCATAGGTGCATACAATGGGTCAAATGCATTTGCGGTAGGAGTCGTAGTATCAGCTTTTCTTTTAACTCCCTTTTTGAGTTTGGCAGGTTGTGATGGAGGCATTACAGTGGGTGTTGTGGGGACTTGTGGAGGTGGAGGCACAGCAGAAGCTGTTTGAGGATCCATCGCTGGCTGCGCATGGTAACCCGTGGTTGGAGGGACAACTTGCTGAGGCAGAGAATTGTGAGTAGCCATCGGTGTAACGCCCATACTTGAGGGAGGAGCGATGGTGGTTGTATTCGTGCTTCCAGGTACCGAGGCTGGTGCCTGAGTACCAAGAGGCGGCATGGGTATAACGCCTGTTGTTCCAGCCGACGTAGCAGAAGGTGTTAAACTATTTGGTACACTGGAAGTAACAGCAGCTGCACCCGAAGATGGTCGTCCTCTACCTGCTCCTGTACCTCCCGCTACTCCACCTACTCCTGGTCCACCAACTCTTCCAGCTTTCTTGCCCTTGGGCCCTTTCGGGACAGGTGGATCTAACTCCACCTCTTCTTTCGGCATTTGTGCAACCTAAAAAAATCATTATACTACTGTTTTGTCTAATAAAACAATATTTTATTTAATCAAGTATATATTTAAACGTTTCGGCTCCGGATTGAGCCATCTTCAGTGAAGTATATATAAAAAAAAGTTATAGAGTATATAACGAGTCTTTTCTTCCGAAAAGATACAACATTACATGCAGAGATGAAATCAACGAACTTTGTCAAAAGGCGGACACGAAAATTCTAACGTCAATATCGTCATGTCACGTTCACAATAACCAACCGTGACAAATAAAATATGAAAACGTAAAGGGTCGCCAATATAAACATTCAAAAACTAAAAGCG